AGCAGAATGACGTGAGATTATTGCAAATTAAGATGCGTTGTTCTTCCCTATGTAAGGTTTGCAAGGAGGGCAAAAAAAAAAGGAACAGATGCTTGATGATAATTAGGACTTGTGTTAGCATATTTGACGAATTATATAATTGGACAAAACTCAAACTAGGAGAGGCAATGAAAATAGCACCCTCAAGACTACAACAATTTTTTTTTCTTTTCTTCAACCCAACCCTCCCCTTAGACTACAGCAGGTTGGAATGCAAAACAACATCCAGGGTTGGAATGCTTTCTGATGCTATACCGTGTCATCAAATGAAAGGGTCTGATCCACTGAACCTAAAGACCAATAGTATTTCGGTAACAAGAAAACCAAAAAGAAAGGAAAATTTTATTTTGGTAACTAAATCATCCCAATCTAGTTATCTTAAATTCTTCGTCCTTAGTCCCAAATTTCATCTCCTTTCTTCTTCTCCTATCATTTTCAATACAACTTCAAGGTTCATAGGTGTGTCTGTGACAAACAATTCTTTTCTCAACAGTATATGTAGCTTACTTTTTCCTTAAGCATATTAGTATGGTGTTATATATGTCATCAATGATCTTGTACTCTAACTTGAGCTTCTTTTCGTGTAGACAAAACGATTCATCATAGATGGGTCGTGCAAAGCTCCAGATGAAGAGAATCGAGAGCACCACAAGTAGGCAGGTCACATTCTCCAAGCGTAGAAATGGGGTTCTCAAGAAAGCTTATGAACTTTCCACTCTTTGTGATGTTGAAATTGCCCTCTTGATGTTCTCTCCTGCCGGTCGTCTTACTCAATTCTCTACCCAAAAGAGGTACATAGTGAAAACAACTCATTATCAATTGTACTAGCTTTTAGTAAATCTCCATATATTGCACCTTATCAATTTCCTAATCTGTGAATCATTGTAATGACACTAAGGTACTTTTCTTCTTTTTGGTTTCCTGGTGAAGACAAATTTAAAGCACTACGAGTTTAGTTTGTTGAATGTCATTGCCCATAAAAGAGGAAAAAAAAAAGTTTGTACACCTCTTGTCAAGGTTTGAGGTTTTTGATTTATTATAAATAGTCCTCATAGTTTTGTGTGAAATTTGTGTTATAACATGCATGAATGGATATTTCGTATGCAATGTTATAAAATCAGAGGAACCAGAAAAGATTATTTGAGTCATCAAATTGAGCAGAGTATTCATTCATTCCGCGGTTAATTAGGCAACCCGTATTTAACAATTCTTGTTGTAAAAAAAAAAGACATTTAAATTTCCTGTAATATTAAATAACGACCACTGGTTGTGTTTTCAACCGACATAGATCAAAGGAAAAAATTTCTGACTCCTTTTTCCCTGGAGAGAAATAATCTTGTAATTATACTTGGAAATATCAGATTCTACATCCTGTTAAGTTCCAGGAATATGTGAGACCAGCACTAAAAGTTTGATGACTAGACATATGTCTAGTAGACTAGTATATGTATGCCATGCTTGTCTTTACACACATCTTTTTTTTTTTTTTAAGGCTACACACATCTGAACTTAGGTGTGTAAAAAATTTAAAACTTTTGTCAGGATGAAATTTTAAGTTATAAAGCGTATTTTAATGTTAAACGTGATTCTGGACATCATAAAGAAATTACAAGAAAAGCATCACAACAATTCAACAATTCAAAGTTACTTTTCTTATGTTCAAAAAAATAAATAAAATCCTGAATTATGTAAGCGCTTGAGTTCACTTGTATGTTATTGTCCACTTGAGGTTAAATTTGAACCTTTCTTCATGACTTTTTTGAAGCATGTCATATCGTTGCTTGTCAAATTTCTTTTTTTTTTTTTATTGCAGATTTGTTGATTCCTTTTTTCTTTTAATTTATTTTAGATATAATTTTTCTGAGTTCCAAGTATCAAACTTATCATCTACTAGAAACTACTAATATAATAACTCTAAATCACAGGATTGAAGATGTGTTTGCTCGTTTCGTTGATCTCTCTAATAGAGAAAGGGAAAAGTATGTCCAAATAAAATTGTTTGTTTTTCTCTTTTTTTTTTCTTTTTTCTGTTAAAGCAAAGCAGAAAAGCATTAGCATGACAATTTCTTCCTTTCTGGCAGTGCTCTTGCTCCCCAGTGCTTGGACCAAGAACAGTTTGTATTCAATATCCTCTCAATCTAATATTTTTATGTAGCTTTTCAACTAAATAGTTTTATGGGGTTGTCCCGTTTACTACTGATTGGAGACAGATAATTATATATGTTTCTTAGATTGATATCTAATGAAATATGGGCTTGCATTGCATTTTGAAAAAAAAAAAAAAGAAAAGAAAAAGAAAAAGAAAAAGCTGTGACACTTGCTTTCTCACGTAGTTCATTCAGGAAGCTGATGGTGTAAACATCGAAATACAATTTTAATTGGGCACTGTACTCAAGATCGAAATTTGTCTTAATATCAGTAGGATTGTATATAGGATCACACGATCCTACGAATTGTACCACTTGAAATACGTCCAATGCTTAAAAATCTTGGTGAGAATAATAAGGTTAACAGAAAGGACAAAATGGCACAAATTGTATGTATGAGGAGTCCATTTTACTAAGTTATTTATTCTGATTACCTGCTTCTTTATTTACACGGTGGAATCATTTCCTTTCAACTTACAAGGTGTAGTTGGAATTAACTTCTTGCTGCTGTCACTATCAATTGCAATAGGATGTTTGAACCTGACCTGGGAAGTATGACATCCATGGAGGAGCTTGAATCATGTGAGAAACTCCTTGAAGACCTATTGAATTCTGTGACGAATAGAAAGATCTGTGTTCTTGAAGGCATATTCATGGATTCACCATAATGCACACTTTGGGAACCGTAATTAAATGGATGACCTTTTGCCATGCACGGAACCCTTGAATTTTTAAAGTGATGCTCAAGATACATACTCTGGAACTTGTTTTAGGTAAATTTCGGAGAAATCAAGTACTTAAAGATCTTTTTCTGCTTTTCTTTATTTCCAGGAACAACTAGTAAGCAATCTTGTACGTTCATATCATCCTAAGATTTTGGAGGTAATCAATAGGAAACCTTACCAATATCTTAGTATCCTACTATATCCTCCTCTCTATATCCACATTTGCTAATGACTTTATGTTGCTAATGCCAGCTAAATGTTACATTGAAGAAAGTTTTCCTCATGCAGGGAACAGTTCTAAGTTCACTAAAAGAGGGCCAATCCTCGCAGAGGAGTGCTGAGGTTCTGAATTGGTTACCTGATGGTTCCTGCAAAGGACATACTTTAGATTCACCTATTGTCAATGTTGATACCAGGTATATATCCAATGGTGCAGCAGTCTTTACAATTCACTTTTTCTTTTTTTCCCTGATCCTGTTACTCATAACTCAGGATAATAGCGTCACTTTCTTTATGTTTAACACCTCTCCTATCTCCTTTATTTAATTATCTATTCTTGTTGAATGTAACACCTGTCACCCGGATATGTTGGAAACTTTTGAAGTTATTAATTTGAAACCATTTAAGGAAAACTACAACAAAGAAAAAAAAAAAGAGACATTGTGGCTGCATATTTAATTTGATTGTCTTCTGTTTCTCAGGGATGATATCTCCACTTCTTGTGTCCCATTAGAAGAAAGTAGCTGTAACTTGAACCTTGGGAACATGAAAGACGGCAAGTTTCAGACTTCAGTTAATCAGAAAGTTCCAGCATGGGCTCATTCGTATAATTCTGCTGATATTTCAGGCAACTTATCTTGGACAGGTTGATTTTTCAATTAATGCAGAGGGAAATGAAATCGTAATGAGGTTTAATAGTTGGTTTAATGTTACAAATTCTAATAAACATACAGATACTAAAAGATATAATGTTGGTTGGTACCAATAAGTTTCCTTCTGTTGGAGTAGAATTGTTGTTAAAAAAATCCATCGAATTATATCCAGAGGTTTCTCACATTTTAATAGGTCTCCAGGCAAATGCATGCATTTCTTTTTCATGTCATTAGTGTTTGGAATGTAAAAGATTTTAGTAATAAGAGGTATATCTTGTTTACCTTGCCACCAGGAAGAAATAGTGGAGCAGAATATCCAGATGTGATGCCACTCAATGAAGAACTCAAAACTGGGGAACTAGCAAAACACGAGACGAAAATGTTGCTTCAAGACTAGCTGAACATTTGGATCAGTAGAGGATGAGATGTTGCTGAAGTTTATTAAGTGTATGGCTGTATCTTATATCTTTCATGTTTTTAATTGCCAAAAGTGTTGGATCTGATGTTTCATTTTTTTTGTTTTGATATTAGCTGAAATTGCTTCTGGCCCTAAGATTTATATTCTAAAAGTGGGCTCCGGGTTCTTCACATAGACTTGTAACAAATTTCAGTTTTCAGAAAAACTGTCAGTTGTAGATTGTGTTCGTGTAATGTAGAATGAAAGAAGAATGCTCAGTGATTTTTAAGAAACAATAGGTTTCAGACAGCCAATTCTAAACATGCAATTGTTCAGAGGCAAAACTAGATGATGGGAGCTCTATTTTTGCTCTCAGGCATACTACTAAACACGGTTTCTTGGCTACCGAAAACGATGGGATTAGAGTACCTTGATCGAAAGAACAAGCAAGCTTTGGAAGCTGATTAATCCATTGAATACACTGATAAGTGTTCAATGGATAAGAGATTTGTCTAATGTAGACAAACTTGTTACATGATCCATCTTGTCTTCCTGAACTTTGCAAGATCTTATATACTCTCGAATAAAATATTTGCAAGATCTTGAGCTTGGGTTGGCAAGGAGGTGGAAATGTTTGGAGTCAGAGATGCAAATCAGGTAAAAACTTACTTTGACGGATATAAAACTCACATACATGAAAGTGCTAAAACTAGAAGCAGAGCACAGATATGCAATATTAAGTTGCAGACTTTAAAAAGAAAAATAGTTATAACATCCCAGTTGTAATTGAAAAGAAAAAAAAAAGGACAGGAATCTCAGTTAAAAACTCCCAAGTTGCACTTAAGAGACAACCACAAACCCAAATCCAAATTCAGGAAAAAAACAGTATTGATTAATACTAATGAGAAGTTTCTTCTACACCAGACAATGTCGATTAGGCCTCTGTGGCTATCACTTCTGATTTTTTCCATCAGCAGACCTGCGAAAAATTGTATGTTCATACCTGGTGAAGTATCAAGATTACTATAGTTACTGAACCTTAATTACTAACTTAAAAAATTTAAGGATGATCATTAACAAAGAAGCAAGAATGAAAAATTGTCAAAGACGGAGATGCATACATTTGACGAATCCAGGTTCGGAAAATAGTACGGTCATTCTGTGCAGTTGCGTCAGCTTCCCAAGTGGCTCTTCTCTTCTATATCTCATAAAGTTTTGTCCCAAAAAAAATGATTAGTAAAAGACTGAATCCTGACCAAGTATTATAGCCAGATTTCATTCTAAAGCATTTGGTAAATATGAAATTCTGCAAAATTCTCTACTAAACAGTAGATTTTTGTATATACTGTATGAAATAATTATGTACGAGTAAACAACTAAGACATGGAGTATTTCCAGGTAAAGATAGATACTTCTTAATTGTATAGCTTATACGCATAAATTTATACAATATAAACATTAGACAATCGCATTTTCTATACACACCGACTGACCATTATAAATTGGAGACAATCAAATCGGCTAAGATGAAACCCCAACTTTTTTATACTTACCCTGGCGTTTGATGATGAGCTAGTGGCTTGAGTAGCCGAAGCTGAGGCATTGGTGCCGCTGAGTCCCTGTATATACAAGAAAGGTTCCTGTGTAAGCTCTGATGTCTGATAGAAGTACACAACTACTCGTAAGTGAAGTTCATTGAACATATACCTGTTGAGCTGTTTGAGTTGCCGAAGTAGAGACACTAACGCTGCTAAGTCGCTGCATATAGAAAAAAAGGGTCCTTTGTAAGCTCTGATGACTGTAGAATAACATAAACACTCTTTTAAGTAAAGTTCATTAAGTCATATACCTGTGGAGCTTGAGAAGCTGGGGCCCAGGCATTAAGGTCAACTTCTCTATGATTCCATATGGAGCCTATTGAAAGTACTCCGGGTTTTGAACTTAAACCTAATGACAGTCCTCGATAAGTTGATCCACGCACTACTTCTTCAGGAGTCAAGCTTGAGCTTGCATCTGGTGAAAGTTGTTGAACAGGCCAACCGGAGTGTTGTTGAGCAAGGGCCTGATTGGTGTAGCTTGAGCCTAACGTTGGCAAGCCGTGGCTTGGATACTGGGATGAGGCACCAGTATCAAGGGCTTGATTAGTGTAGCTTGAGCCCAACGTTGGCAAGCCTTGACTTGGATGCTGGGACGAGGCACCGGCATCAGGATGAATACTGCAAAGATTATATTAGGTCATACAAAAACCTTATAATCTTGCCTCAACTCAGTGAAGTAAATTGCTATAACTAATGTCGAATCAACTTAACTTACTGAGAGGAAAAAACACAAACACAAACACAAATAACGGAAAAAGAAACATCTTAGGTACCTCAATGCAATGTATGACTTGGACTTAACCAGGATGGGTATGGGTTCCAGTGAACTTGATTTCTGTGGTGCCGGATTTGGCTGTTGAACATCTGATTGCTGTTGGGACCTGACAACAAAAACCCAATATTAGCGACAGAAGAGCAGTGAAAGTTTTCTTAATTTCATGTGAAGAGATGAAATAATTGATGCTTCAATATACTTTTGATCAAACAAGCAATTATCATTAGGATAGATAACAATATGCTACTTTTTAATTACACTCAAATAATGGTAGAAAAACAGAAGGTACCCCAAGTCCCTGGATGACGATTCTTGCATCATGGAAGTATTGGCACTTTCTGAGTTGTAGTCAATAGGAGCGAATGAGAACTGCTCAGCTTGATCCCATCGAGGAATTTTTTGGCTCCTAAGTTGCAAAAGAGAAATAAAAGAATTACCTTTTTTTTTTCCCAAATTTTGCAAATGCAAGTTCTATAAAAGTGTTAAAAAGTTAACTTGGGAATAAATTGCAATGACTTGAATGAAACAATCTATAAAGAACGAGAGTATTGCATGAATTACTAAAAGCATAAAAAAACTATTTATTTATAACCAAAAACAGCTGACAATGGTGCTAGCATAATACAGGTATTGCCATTGCTTAGAGGGACTTCCTGGCTCCTAAGTTTACCGAAGAAAATGAAAGATTATTGCCTTTCTGCAAATGCAAGTGCTATAAAAGAGATGTAGAACTAACTAGGCAATATAAAATGGAACAAGAAGCACTTGAATGTGTAATTAAATATACCCTAAAGCAGTAGAGAATGATTCTGGTACGACAGAGGTATTGGCACCGGAGCTGAACTCCACAGGAGAGGGTGAAAACTGAGCTAGTTGACCGGCATCTTTATCATCTACACCGAATGCCGCCGCATATAGGTCACGGTATATAGCATGCTGTTCCACTGGTATTGGTGCCTCAGGGTCCGTGGATGTTTCTGCCTGGCAAGTTACAAGGAGACCGAGACTTTTATTTAGAATTATAACTTCTTGTATGCTATTTAATTTGATAATTGGACTACCTAATTCAAGATTTTGCCCACATTTTGCTAGTTTAGAAAGTCTCAACTTCTATTAATTTAACTCTTCTTTTTAAAGATGTTTTGTGTTAATTTCAATGTGGCAATGAATTTTGAGTTACATAATACAACTAGAAAAGCAATCCGTTTTGCATAGAGTTATCGAGGTAAAATCAAACCAAAAACCCCTTCAGCCCTTGTCAATGTTTGAATAGCACAAAAAGTTTTGGATCGTTAAGTGATTAGGTAACAAGTTAATGGAAATGGCACTGGCAACAATTTCATGGAATGTACATAACCCACAAGTATCCAAAAAATAAGTGTAAGTTCCCAAACTTATAAATTTTTTTATCAAAAAGTTGAAAGAATTTTCCATGAGTTATTTTTTGTCAAAAAGTAGTAGGGAAAGGACGGGATTTAAGAAGCAAGGAAGAAAAAAAAAATTTAAACCCACGAATTCTAAATTATGAGTTTTCAACCTTAACCACTAGAAGACCTCCTTTGCGAGTTTTCTGTGAACTCATACTAAAGTATTTCAAGGACAACCTTTCTAAATTTTTTTTCAAGGAGTGGTTTTAGGAAAGTAAAGAACAATTTAATGTTGTTCGTATGTAATCAAATGTTACGTTTCTTTAAGTTTTGACATAAATGTGTAAAATGTGATAATCATGATGCAAATTACTGAGGACATGGTGAATAGTATTTACAACAAATTTCATACTAGACAAACTTTGACGGACCTTATGAAGCATTATAATACAATATAAGCAAGATCATAAGAAGTCTTTATTTAAAGCAACCTAGAAATATACATGAACGAGAAAAGTAAGAGAATATGATTAACTTTATGAAGCGCAATAAATAAAGTTAAAGTATTCAATGTTATTACATTTTATAAATTCATATCAAATTTACCAAAAAGTAGTTGGAAAAGCCTATGAACACTGTATTGTACGACTTCTTGAAATAAAAGTAGATACATATTGGAGAAAAAGAAAACGTACTGCATGGTGAGGAGGCATAGCAGGCAAGGCTGTATCGTTGACATTATGATTAGCAACTTCCTCAGCGTCATCAAACAACATCTTGTTCACGTAATCTTCAATATTCTCCATTTGATTTTTCTTGCGGCCTTGATAAACTATTAGCACATACATGAACTTACATGAATTGCAGGATCAAATCACTACATATTGAAAGAATCAATGCCTAATACTAAAATAAGCATTTTCAAAAATATATATAAAAAAAAAGACATTTGACGGTAAAAATTTGTCATGTTATCTAAGTCTTTCTTTTTTTTTTTTTTCTTCTTTGGACCATTTGCTTTTTGTATTTTCTGATTGAGAAACATACTTTCTAAATGCAGTGAATATGGTCTTATGCATTTACTTGGATTTTATTCTTCTACTTCGAGTTAGTATGTCGCATGTATCTAGTGTATAGAAATAGTTGATAAATTCAAAAAAAAAAACTGATCCTACACATTTTTGTTCTTTTTGTTAATTCATTAAAGGACTTACTATATTATGCCAAAGGAAAAATGGAAAATTCCACTTTTCATCCCCAAACTTTGGGTTAAGCACATATTTCGTCTCCAAACTTTGTGGTGCAACACATTTAATACATGAATTACCAATTTCTGGACACATTTAGTCCAGAAATAGCAAATTGATCGATTTAGATGGAAAAGGGTCACATGACCAGCACGCGGCTATTAAGGAAAAAAATTCCGAAAAAGAAATTGGCTTCATAAGTAAAATATTACAATAATATTTTTTGCCTATGATAAATTTATGTTAAAAATGTTACAAAACTTCTCTTTCATGAACATGTTAAAAAATATTTAAAAATAATTTTACCTATATATGGAGGAAAGCCATAAACTGTTGATAATTTATAGGAAATAAAAGAAACCCACAAAGAATCCCATGCACGGCTGGTATTTTTTTTCATTTCTGGAGAACATAAAATAAACTACAAAAAGGTTGTAGTTTGGGGACAAGATAAAAGAAAAGTTATAAACAGTTGGTAGTTTCTGTACAAGATAAAAAAAATAAAAAAAAAAAAGACTGGTTATGATTTTCTTCTATTTTATCAAAAACCAACCCTGTTGTTGCATTGCATATTCTACAAATTTTGGTAATGAAAATGCTTTAGTTTAGCAATTTACTTGTGCTTGTATGCAAAGGGGTACCTCAATTAATCATCAAAAGCACTGTAAATACAAAGAACAAGCCAATCTGGACAAATTGTCATCATTTCTAGTAATGAAGAACTGTATTAACAAATCAATCATGATCGTGTGCTGGTCACATGACCTTTTTCCGTCTAAATTGATTAATTTGCCGTTTCTGGGCTAAATATTTCTGGAAATTGATAATTCATGTATTAAATTTGTTGCATCACAAAATTAGGGGATGAAATATGTAACTAGCCCAAAGTTTAGGGACGAAAAGTGAAATTTTTCCAAGGAAAAACTATTAACCTTAAGGTCACCGGTAACGTTTCCTCTCTATTGTCCATTTTCAAACTTTTTTTTTAAATATTTTTTTTAGTAGGAGAAGATGAGATTTAAGAAATGAAGAGGACGAAAAGGGTCTGAACCCAAGATCTGTAAGTCCTAAAGACTTTCAATTTTTTCTATTGATTGCCTAGGAAGGAATTAAATTGGGGGTAAAACTCACCTATCTAGATTTGAATTTTCTTCATTTTTTTTTCTTCCCAGACGACATTACTTTGATAAGTAAAATTATAGATATCAATTTACTGATTAGCTCTTGAAACAAGCAATCCACATAGCCATGATTAAAGTATAGTTTATGCGATGAGAGAATGAGATAATGAAAATCATGGCATAAAATAATACACAGTTAGGCCAGTTAATTTGTGCCCAACAGTACAGCTAAAGATATCACACACCATTTATTACACCTGAGAAACGAAGACACACACAGGATAAATAATGTACATGAGTTTTGATATAAGAATAACGCCATAAAAATCATCTAAAAATTGTACAGAAATGAAAGAATTTTTACCTTAACTACTCTTAGTTCGGTGATAGAAATCTTTGCCCAAAGCTGAAAATGAAATATGATATCACATGGGTAGAAAGTTTGAAATTATGTTATGATGAGGCAGCTAAAACATCAGCATTAAAAGGATCAGAAAACAGCACAACAAAGAAATGAAGTACAATAGGAAAAAGAATAGAGGATGGATGATATTAGTTTTATACAGAGATACAGAAAGAGAGAAATTTAGTACCTGAACTGATACTCTGCTGTACTATGTGAAGATTGAAATCTAGACAGCCTTATCTTGCTTATAAGGACAAGAAAACGGAAAGCTACTATTAATTATAGCGAGACCTTAGTTTTATGTAATTTGCCTTTGTCTAAATCACTTCAACTTGTAGAAATGTGACAGGTAAGAAAAAATTGTCGTATTGCCTAACCAATCTTTTATTTCATTAACCACGGGGGAAGATAGCAATGTATCCAATCTTTTGTAGATGGATAATTATTTGTCTCCATTTGCTTCCTCTTTCGTAAGAAAATTTTGTGGTTGCTTTCCTTTTCACATTGAGCAAGACGTAGAAATTAAGGCTTGCCATTTGATTAAGGACGACATAACCATATGTACTACTATCGATAGTTAAACATCAATCACAAAATCGTGCATAACTAACTATGGATTATTCATTGTATTTTTTTCTAAAATTACTTTATTTTTGAATAACTAGTGGACTAACACTACTGTTATTTTTTCAGAAGGAATTTTTGTTTACTCACAACTAGAAGAATGGGTAATTTTGGGGGAGGGAGTATAAGCGAAAGATTTCACATTCGAACCCTTCTCTAATGGCTTATCAGTTATACATGAGAATAAGGATTTCCATCTTTATCTTTAATTTAAAGATTGACTAATAGCTTATCAGTCATAATCATTATGCCAATAAGAATTTCCATCTTTGTCTTTAATCATTATTGTTGACCATCTATCTTATTATGGTTCGTCATTCTCTTCACCTAGATTATCCCCAAAAAAACCACATTATAAGTTCACCAAACAATCTCTGATTCATCACATAGGATATCTACTGTACTAGTCTGCAAAGGTGAATCATTTTTATTAGTCAAGTAGCACAATCAATCTCTTTGCTTGATTCGTTTAAGTTTTTTCTAATCCAACTTCTGTGTAGTTAATGATGTATAAGTACTTTGGTCTACTTTTATGATGATAAAATTAATGAAAAACCAAGGATTTTTACCTTTGAACCGTGTCATAATTATAAAGAATTTTGATTTCGCCAACCAATACTAGAGAAGAATTTTCATTATGAGATGGGTCAACCCAACTAAAATACCTGATCACTATATACAGAGTTGTTGTGGCTCCTCACTTGAAGATCGTGGGGGTGTTTAGGATGATATAAAATAGAAAAGGAGGATTATAACTTAAACTTCAGCACTTATGATATTGTCCTGCAAAATATTATGGGAACCAGAACTCTTGATCCTCTTTATTTAGTAGTGCTTGTTACAACTACAAATAAAAAATAACATGAAAATATCGAGGCAAATGAATGCTTGATAAAAAGATCCCAACAAGTTTGATCTAGTTGAACGTGCAAACATGGATTGTTGAGTGGTCGAAAGCAAATATGGGTTTCGCTTCTCATATTAATTTTTGCGAGACAATCTGTTAAGTACAAAAGAAAAAAAAAATCATGGTCCCTGCTTTCTAATTTTTATTATTTTGATTTTTGGTAATAAGTAGTACAACAATAGCATAAAAATTATCAGCTATACATGAAAATTAAGTGAAAGCAGACATTGTTTAAAACCTTTCATTTGCATTACTCAAAAAGCTACAGAAGTATGATTAATGAAAAAAAAAAAGATTGATTTAGTTTTTTAAAATTTAACATTATTTAGTTCGGTATCTACAAATAGTTACAAGTTCTTGAATGAACCCTGAAACAAGGAATAGTTGCTGCCTTATTGGTCTTTATTCAAATGGTTTGAATGTCCAACATACGATCTACAACATTGTAAAATAGGAAATTATTCAGTGTAACCAATCGTTATAGATATTCCAAATCACACTCATTTATTTTGTAAAAACACCAGATTTCAAGAGAACAACCAGACAACAACAATTTTTCTGTCTACTTGATTCTATGTACTTATCGTCTGGTGCTTGTTTGAAGTTCAAAACCATGCATAGATTTAACAACCCAACCCTATTCAGACTCCATATAATGTTAGTCGAAGTAGAAATTTGCTCTCACTTATGCACAGAGTTCATATTCTAGAATGAAATGATAAACCACTGATCTTATTTTGATAATACATGAATCTATTTAAAGTTCTTTGCTCAACTAATTTGAAAGGTCCTTTCAAGTAAATCATTTTCCTTCTCCATAGCATCAAGTTCAACTCGTACTGGGGAAGCCATGATTGTGAACTTCACTTCAATATCCGCCACTACCTTTTGAGTTCCATCAGTCGACATAACTTCTTCAGTTGTTTATTCATAGATTCACTTGAGCTACTGGATCTTTTTTCGTTTCCATGATAGAATGATACCTTTTATTGGAGCACTAAATGAAGTTCAAGAAAAAAATGAGCAGCACAATTTTTGGATAACTAACATAAGGAATCAACAATGCTATAAACATGTTTACATTCTGAAGGCATAAGCTCGATTCAGTACATTATATCCTGCTTGAATAGTCGCTCTTGGATAGAATTGCTCTCTTGGTGGAGCTCCCTAGTTTCTCTGAAGATTTGCTCCATGTCTGCATCTTATTTGCCTCTTTGATGTGTAAAATAATGTATCCTCCTAATGCTACCTTGGTTTGTTTTTCAAGTTCCATAGAAATATACAAAAAAACTCGTCCTCCCTTAATGAGGAAAAAATATTCGTCAAGTTTTAGAGGGGTGGATTTATGATGTGCAAAGAGTTCGATAATTGGCCAGATTTTGCATAGAAATCATGTTGTTCAGCAACATGAGAGCTTGTAGTTTAGACTGTGGTGTGTGTGTGTGTATATATATATATATATATATATATATATATATATATTTGCTGGCTATTGATACTA